CAATGACGAACGTCCTGTCGGATGTTCTTCCAAACAAAACGGTCGGTGATCAACTTCGTTGTGGGACGAATGCTCGGTTGCGACAGACCGTGGGAATGGTCAAACATTTTCCGGCGATATGCATGTGGGACAAATGGTCTCGGCTTGACGGTTGAAATGTCGCAATGGATCCGTGTATTGGGGTCTGGTTGAGGTAATTATTCGAAACGTAACGAAGGGTTAGATGTGATTTCGGTGAAATCTGGATCCGACTTTTGTTCGGTGGCCAGGACTTGCGGATGGAGAGAGGGCACCCATATGTGGTTCAACTCCATGCGAGAAATCGCGTCGGTAACCACGTTACTCGCATCGTCAATATGGCGAAAATCATTTGTGAATTGCAAGACGAAATCCAAATGGCGAGTTTCTCTGGGGGAGTGGTGGTCTGAATTGGCCTGAAAAGTATAAATTAGGGGCTTGTGGTCGGTAAATATCGTAAACTGACGGCCGTCTAGTATATGGCGGAAGTGTTTGACTACTGGGTAGATTGCGAGTAAGTCCCTGCCAAACGTGCCATAACGGGTCGCAGGAGAGGTGAGCTTCCTGGAGAAGAAGGAGAGTGGATGAGTTTCACCTCTAACCACCTGTTGCAGGACTGCCCCGACGGCCACTTGAAATGCATCCGTCTTCAAAATGATTTGTGTTCCGCTGGAAGTGTCGAGATGGTTTAGGGTAGTCGCCCTGTGGAGCAGTTGTTTCACTTCCGCGAACGCGGACTCAGCCTCTGGTGTCGTGCGGAAGTGCTTTGGGTTGGCTTTTTAGCAAATCCGTGAGGGGCTGAAGTACTTGAGCGCAGTTGGGGACGAATCATCCGTAACAATTCACAACCCCCAAGAAACGACAGGGGCTCTTCACTGATTGAGGCATTGGGTAATCCAGGATGGATTGTGTCTTCTCAGGTAAGGGAGCGATTCTGTGTGCATTGATGAGGTGGCCAAGGAATTCGGTTTCGTCCTGGTCGAACATACACTTCTCGGGGTTCACCGTGATCCCGTACTCCTGTAGACGTACGAACACCTGGCGCAGATGTTGCCTCTGCTACTCCGGGTTGGAGCTGATGATGAGAACGTCATCGATATAGACGTAAACGTAATCTAACCCGCGGAAGACTTGATCCATGAATCGTTGCAAGGATTGGGCCGCATTGCGTAGACTAAAAGGCATACGTAGATATTCGAATAAACCGAATGGGAAAATTTGATTTGTACCTCTATCAAGGCTCAAAGAAGAGCTTGGAGATTGTGATGTCCCTCCTTTCGACTAGTCCAACTTGTTGGTGGATTATATATCTCCATCGTCCCTGGTTGTGATGGTTGAAGTAGCAAATAGATAAAGTCTCCATTTTTTCTCGAGTTTTTAAAACTGACTGGATTTCAACTCCCATTAGTAACGACAGCCGTATCCTCGTCGTAAGATTAGCCTCTGAAAGTCTTGTTTAACAATAATTAATGCAATCACAGATGTGTTAGTTCAGGGAATCTCTAGAAGAAATACTGATTTAACACCCCCCAAACAATAACTAAAATAGAGATTTCCCAATTGTGAAAATTCTTTCAACGTACAACTAAAGTTAATGTAGCAGTGGTCTACCGAGCGCGTTATTTAGTAAAGAAAGAATCTATTTATTTATTTCAAATGGCAGGCGTTTTGATACCTATCATTAGCCCTTTAATTGACTTCGGGCTTCACAGAGGGAAGGTTCATCAAAGTAGCAGAAAGTCGAGGTGTGGGAAACAGAAGAGCGATTCACAGATGTAAAAGAGGCAGACAGACACAAAGGTAGAGAAAAGGGTAAGATGAGTACTGTGGAAGTGGTCGAATATGACAAGCAGTCGTGCCATGGTATTTTGAAGTCAGAAGTCAACTGCCGGTTAAAAGACTTTTTTGCCGTATGAGCATACGCTGCCCAGGGTGCACCACGTGGAGGCAAGTCTATCGCACACCCCGTAAAGAAAGAATCTAAAATTACCGTTCATGTCAAGGATTTAGCCCTTTCGGAGAGCTGGCATTAAAATTATAATACATCAACTGAATGCCTTTTACTTATCCCAAAGTAATCAAGTTATCTCTTGAATTAATTCTAAGGTGATTGAAGTTTATAAGGGCTACTAGCAACTAAGGCACCAGAACCTTGCCCTGCCTTCATCAGTCTCTACCTTCTACTGAACTTCGCAGCAACAACAAGTAAGGGAAGAAGACGGTTACCATTATAATTCCCAATTGTCTGTAAACTCGGAATTGGGAAGTATGAAGAATGAAGAAATGGAGTGGTCGGAGGTGGTTATCGTAGATATAGCGGAGTCTGAGAGTAGATGGAGGGCAGAAGTTGGAAACTGTGGGTAGGAACGCATGTGAGGGAAGATGCAACTAAGCTGATAAGGCCAAAACCGGAAATAGGTCTAAAAATTTTCATCAAATGATTGACCCCGTCGCTTTAATTAGGCTTTAGTCCTCCACAAAACTGTGGCTTCCACGGACAGTTAGTGGCCCAAGACTACTAGAAAGGTGCTACCTAGACACCCTCATAATTGTTTTAGGTAGTTTTATTTTTTTGTGCAGATGGCGAACTAATTGACATGACATTATGGATTATCCTTTACATTAGGTTATGAGGCGAAAGTCAGAAATGCCGAAACTCCATCAATACTAAACGCTGTAGAACCAGCTTTGTGTGACTTCGATTAGGTACTTACAAATTGAAAAGTAGGGTTAATGCTTCTTTCAAATCCATTTATTATTTGAGTATTTATTAGTTACCATAAGCTACTTTTCCGAGAAAAGAGGAAATTTTGATGAAACTGGTCCCTCTTACATTTTTATATTTTTGAGTAAGGAGAGTGTACTCGTTAATTAAACTTAATTAAATTTCAAATGCAAATGTTGCAGATTCGTCGAATTTAGTTGGTTAAATTTAAAGGTTGATTGTCCAAATTGGAAAACATCGAATCTAGGTAACTATAATCTTGTTACGACCAATGAAACATTATTGATAAAATAATGAAATTTACTTAATTATCTAACTATCTTCTAGAAGGAAGCATGTGACATTACCGCTAAAATCTCTATTTTCCAGCTTCCTTCATCGAAAGAACCTTGAGCTTGATCTATAGACTGGTTTATTTACATTTTTGGAAGGAAACGACTTCAAAGAGGAGCATCTACATAGGTAGGATAAAATGAGCATGGCTTGTGAGTTCATTACAGCTCATCCGGTTCTGCTATCAAAAGTGGGTTCAGGAAATGGGTACAATTGGGAGAGCATTCATAGAAGTTTCCTACCACACAACTTTTGAGAAGGTTGTCATACAACAGTATTGTTTAAAAAAATCACAACCTACATTGCTCAGCAGAGTACGAGGCTCTTTTATCTTTCATTTAAACACTGAGGATTCTATCTACATCTACAAGTTGAAAGTGCTTCTTCTTGGGGGGGGGGGGGGGGGGTTGAAAGTCTTTGGTAGTATATAGGAGGAACTCCTAACAGCTCACACAACCGAAATTTTCAAAATATAAATTTTCTATACAAGTTTCAAGTTTTTTAAATCTCACAATGCCCGTATGTGGAGAAAGCGTCAAATACGAATTTTTTACCACCCTCACAGTGCTCACCTTACCTTTTCACTAACTTTGTGTCTGTCTGTCTGTCTGTCTCTTTACATCTGTGAATGACTCTTCTGTTCATCCCTCTTGACTTTTTATGACTTTAATGCACCTCCTCCATGTGAAGCCAAAGTCAACAAATGGACTAATGATGACCTTCGTAAAGCTTGCCATTTGATGTAAATAACTGATGACAATGAAGAGGTCATCCCAAGTAAAATTTTGCGTTCACACGATTGAGAACTCGTCTTTTGGTCCAGGGAGTATATGGCAATCTGGGGATCATAAAGGCGATTGAGGTTGTGCTTTTATATGAAATAAATTTATTATAAATAAAATTTTAATTAGGATGTAAAAAGATATTTATCATTTATGTGAAAGTGCAAATTATTTTAGTAGTGGCTTTTTAATTCACTTTATAATATAAATAAAATTTGATATTTCCGTTAAGTGCCTTTAATTCATAAATTGCCGGTTTTGTGGGACACGTTTCGCTGTGTGCGTCATCGTATGCCTGCATGTCTGCTCGCCAGGATTGGGAGGTGCGGCCGTACAACTCTGTGTGCAGCGACCGTACAAACAGTGCCCAATCATCAACCTCTGTTTAACCTAAACCCCCATCCTGATCATGAGTAGCTCCCTGCGTGTACACTTTATCCGCAATGCCCGTACTGATTAAACGTGCTCCGTGCTACACAATTGGCAGGAGGGTTAAATATGAGTAGGGAATTTCGAGTATGAATATGGCCTCTGAAAAGATAAGCCACCTAAGTTGAAGTGAATTTGAGAGGGAACCAATTTCACTTGGAAGTGTAACTTCTCGTCATCTTCATCCGAATGAGTTCATTTCCCCATAGCTAAAAATGTGTGATATAGAAGGGGACGAAAGCCAAGCAACTTCAACCAACTGAGAAGACGCCTGTTGGGAACACGACGGTAACATGGCTCAAGCGGGGGTAGCACATGCACGTCCAAATATGAAGAAACACTTGAGAGGTCGAACATTCCAGTACGTTGCGGGTGCGATAGCACATGTATTTAAACTTCATTTCTGCTTAATGAGCCAGTATTCCATCTGTCTAACATTTCCGAAATGTCAACATGAGATATTCTGATCATTTTTTAAATGGCTACTTTGAATCTTAAGTGGATATGTAATTTCTTTTACACTGAACTTCACATCAATTCCATTCTTATGATAAAACTCAATGAAAAGATAATTGATTTAAGTATGAATATAATCTATTTGTATTCTATAACTGTGTTTAGTTACAGTGAAAACGTACCGATTTACTGGATCTATATTCGTAAGAGCCTTGATGACCAATGTTCATAAAAATTTTAAATCCAACTTTTGAGAAATGGTGGAACAGGCTGTAAGTCTAAATACCTCTTTCTAACCTCTATAACTTCCAGAGCAAATTTATTGAAAATTTAATTTTCAAATCGAAACAATTAACGTGTTTCTAATTTTCTTATAGGTCACTTCCGAAGACATAATTGCATTCATGAGCCCTCTCTTGTCAGCAAGTCATCAATCTTTTACGAGAAAATATGCCGAATATGTTAAAAGTGTTCCGTTATTACATGAAGATGTAATGAGGTTATTGGCTGCAGAGACAGACTTCTGTTTCGTTCGTGTATTCTTGCTTGCACTGGAGCGCTATATGAAATGTAGATTTGAAATAATTTGCACTGAGAGTCATTTGCTTCTTAAATTAACTGCTAAGTTCTTGACAATAGATAATGGAGGAACATTTCTCGGTTTACCAAATAAAAGAGAGGAGGTTGTTATAAAAAATGGCAAGTCTGATATTATAGCTAAAAAGTACCTCCAATTGAGTCAAAAATATTGCGACAAAAAGGAGTTTGAGAAGGCACTTAGAGCAGTCAATAAAGCCTACTTCAGTGCATTTTCAGAGGATGCTAAATTTAATTCGCTGTCCAAGAGGTGTTACGTTCTCCTTCAACTAGACTATTATGCCGAATTTCTGCAGGACGCAGTCAGTTGTCTTGAGGTGAATTCACATTCCATTTCAATATTGCTGCTTTTAAATATGACTGCTATACCTTGGCATCTTCCGTGATGAATGTACTAGTCAAAGATACAGGAGAGAGCGGCTGCCATCGGTTTGGTTAGAATTTCTCTTCTCCTGTTAAGTCAGATGATCGTGGCTTTGCTGGTCGAGTTCTTCCACATTTATGCACCTTGGCCACCATTCCAATCATTCACGCTTCCATTTGCCCTTATGACCTTGCTTTATTGTCTTGCATTTCTTGCACCACGAGGTCTTTAATGATGTTTCAATAGCTCCACACTTCTCTCATCGACTGCACCTTTTGTTTGTTTAGGCAAATACTTCCATCACAAAGAAGAAAGTTATTTATTTGCTGTTATCTAAGTTCTACAATCAGTTTGATAACCCGGAAAAAAGCAAATTCTATTTAGAAAAAGCATATAAAACTGAGATGAAGGAGGAAGAACGAAAGAATGATGTGGAAGTTTTGAGGGGGGAAATTGATAAACCTTCCCACTATGGAGTAAAGTGGAAGTGCATCCATCCTGAACCTCCAGAATCCCTGCTCAAATTTAGTGAACCAACATCAGAAAATATTGAAGAAAAGCCAAAATGGGACATCCATAGAATCAGAAAAGATATGATATCTAGGGAAAAAAAATTGCTTCAAGTAACAGATACCGAAACTGACAAGGGTTGGGCAGTAAACGTTACAAAGAAAGTGCCTATAGGTATGATGTGTGCTTAACAATTCATTCACCTGCTCACATTAACTTTCTCTAGGATCGATTCTTTTAAAAGAAAAACCCTATGCATCTGTTTTGAGTTTCCAGTTTACCAGGTATTGTTACTGTTGCTACAAGAGATGTGTCAATATTCTCCCATGTAAAGGATGTGCCATGGTAATTGAAATTCCTTCCAAAAGCCTTGCTTCTAACCCTACTGACAATTATAGGTTGGGTTCTGTAGCGAGAAGTGTGCTGAGGATGCCAGAAGCCCTAATCGTCAGGGAACTGGTGGACCAGGTCGACATGTACATGATTGTGGGGGGTTGCTGCCATGCTTGCGTTCAGGCATCATCGGAGGAAGTGAACCAGAAGTAGTTGAATTTCTACCGTTGTCGCACTTGGCATATACCTGTGTTGCCAACACTCCACCAGAGGTTCTACTAGACTGCATATGTTCTTCTGGTCGATATAAGGTAGACATCCTTTCCCCTATTTTATGATTTTCGTTAATTTAATTACTTAGCTCAGGAATTTATACTACCTTAAGTTGAATTGATTTCACACTAAGTGTGATAGACAATAGTTAATCGTCATTTTAGACTGGCGATATTATAACTGCTTCTAAGTATTTATTCTTTATTTCCCGTTTTTTAAACTTCTAGTAACATTTATTTATCTTCCATTGAGCAGAATTTTAAGCACCAAGCATTCCAAGCCACGTATAATTCTCGCGACTATCCTCCTTCTCCATTGGATCCGTCAGACTATTCTACTATTGCCTCCCACTTTGCTAATCCCGATGAGTTTAATTTTAGTATCAGATTCAGCTTTTATGAATTAGCTATTTACCTGACAATTTGTCTTTGGGTATGAATTATTGAAATGTTTCACGTGATTTTACACTATTGCCTTTTACAAGATTTCTTATTCTCATCTGATATTTTTGTCTTTTCAGCTCTCCGGTTATCCCATGAAATGGTTTGATGAAGCAGGAGAGATCTTCTACAAGCATCCCTCTGAATTAGAAAAGCGACCGGATATTTTGCCGGCAAGCTGGGTTGCAGCCTGTATGGTGTATCATTACAAGTCTGTGCGCTTTAATGCTCAAAGATACACGGAATTACTGGAATCCCCAACGTCAGGCCAATCATTTTACAATTGGTTGGCCTTTTGTATCTATCCAACCATTTCATTCATAAATCACGATTGCAATCCCAATGCTTGCTTAGCATTTACAGCTAATGGCGGTGCATATCTCTATGCTTTACGACAAATTGAGCCTGGAGAGGAGATTTCCATTTCATATGGATATTACTACTTCTCCCACTATTCGGCACCTTGGCGAAAAGCTATTCTCAAATCACGCTACCTATTTGACTGCAAATGCACTGCATGTGTAGGCTTTTGGTCAGTCAGAAAGTTTGTAGAAATTTTAGTGTGTTCCAAATGCAAATGGAGATATCTATGGATAGACAGGGATTGTGCTAAACAGGGCTGTGGAGGAGACGGAGGCTATGAACAGTTTCTCTCGATTGTAACAGAGAAGCTACCACATATATCCAACTATTTGACAAAGGAATGTTGTGAAATTGAAATCATACATGAAGCCTTTTCTCTATTAAAGCAAGCCCAGGAACTAATTCTATCTCCCAGTCCAGTAGTTGCTAATATTACAAGTACGTGCATAAAGTTGATGGACCACATGACAGGAATAAAGACTGTTGAAGAGGCCTATATCTCTTATCCCTCTAATTTTACAAACCCGAACATATTGTGAAAGGTCCTTTGATTGGTTGTATAAAATAAATTTAAACACACTTTACTTTACGATTAATATGATTAATAAATGAGTGGTTTGTCAAAAGTTGAGTTTTAGTGGTTGAATTGACAATGACATCAATGACATAGCTGAATTGGTACAGACAGTCACGGACATCAAGTGCTTACTTTATGCAAATGATCTGGTTCTATGGTATTCCGCCCCTAAGAAAAACGCTCAGGAGAGGACAGAAAGTGCCCTTAATTGTGCACTTAAACTACTAGCAAACTGGTGCGACAACAATGGAATGGTAATCAACACTGCAAAAACTGCATTCCAAACTTTTTCTTTGGCCCATCATGGCATAAACCCGATTCTAAGGTACAAGGGTACTACCATAGAAAAAACCAATGAGTTCACTTATCTCGGAATGACATTTGACACAAAGCTAACGTGGAAAGTCACATTGCTAAAGTAGCAAAACGAGTCTCCAATAGATTGAATGTACTGAAGCGTCTTGCTGGTAGCTTATGGGGCTGTGCACGCTCAAATCTTAACACCACTTACAAGATGTTTATTCAGCCAATAATGTTGTATTGCTGTGTGCCACTCATTACAGCCACAGAGGTGACTCTCAAACCACTCGAGAAGCCACACAACCAGGCATTACAACTAATAACTGGAGGGATAAAATCAACACCCATTGATGCAATGCTCCTAGGTACAGGAAGCTCCACAATAGGTTCCCTTATCGAAGAAAAGGCCTTGATCCTGTATGAGAAGCTACTGCGCATTCCCATGGACAAGTTCTTCAGCACCTATGAGAATAGACCAAGACACCTGNCCCAGAGGCAAGACTAAACGCTATCGAGTGTTTTGGTCTGAACACCTTGAGGAACTGAAAAGAAAGAGGGACGACCTTCGCAACACTGCTGATCAGACTGGAAGAACGGAAGACGTACAAGCCTGGAGACGACAATCAGCTGTCCTAAGGCAAGCCATCTTGCAAGCTAAACGCACTTCTTTCGACAAGTTCATCTCAAATATCAACTATCAAAGTGATAGCCAACGCACTTTCAAATTCCTGAGTATCCTCCAAAATAACAGGGAAAGACTCAAGAAAGAACCAATACGCTTAAAAAACAAACTGCTTACCACCGACTCCGAAATAGCTCACTGCTTTGCGAGGATCTGTTCCTACAAGCAAAAGAAAACCCTTTTGTCAGAAAATCTTCAAGAGATATAAAGATACAAGTAAGACAGTTTGGTGAAATTAAGGGAGACATAACAACACCAAATAATGTACTTACTGAACCATTCCGACCTTGCAAACTCAATGCTGCGATAAAACAGCTAAAGTGCAAGAAGTCTCCTGGCGAAGACGGTATTCATCCGGAATTTCAAATTAGAATGGGACCAAAGGCCAAGGAAACCATGCTGACGCTTTTCAACAAAATCTGGGAGACCAGTCTCGTACCTAACCAATGGAAAGTTGCCATAGTAATACCAGTACTACAAAAGGGCAAAGGCCCTAGCAACTTTGACAACAATAGAGGCAAATACCCTAGCAACTTTGACAACTATAGGCCTGTCTTCCTCACAAGCGTGCTGGCTAAATTTATGGAAAGAATGGTTAACAGGAGGCACACTGACTTTGACAACTTTAGGCCTATCTCCCTCACAAGCATGTTGGCTTAACTTATGAAAAGAATGGTTATGTGCTGGCGAAACTTATGGAAAGAATGGTTAACAGGAGGCGGTGACAATAGACCTATCTCCCTCACAAGCGTGCTGGCTAAACCTATGGAAAGAATGGTTAACAGGAGGCTGACCTGGTTCCTTGAGACCAACAATATTCTTAGGAGTGAACGAGCAAATTTTAGCCCACAAAGATCAACGAACCAACAAGTAGCCACTTTCTCCAAACACATCAAAGATGCACTTGATGCAAGAAATACTCCTACGTCTGTTTTCGTCGATTTCAAATCAGCATATGACTTAGTATGGAAAGAGAAACTGATTCTAAAATTGGCAAAGATTGGTATTAAGAATAACATGCTAAATTGGATAAAAGCATTCATTGGACAAAGATCATGTAAAGTCAGATACGGAAATGCTCTATCAAAATCCAATCTTTTACAAACAGGCCTTCCACAGGGAGCTGTCACAAGCTGCACTCTTTTCGATGTCTTCATCAATGACATAGCTGAATTGGTACAGACAGTCACGGACATCAAGTGCTTACTTTATGCAGATGATCTGGTACTACGGTATTCCGCCCTAAGAAAAACGCTCAAGAGAGGACAGAAAGTGCTCTTAATAATGCACTTAAACTGCTAGCAAACTGGTGCGACAACAATGGAATGGTAATTAACAATGCAAAAACTGCATTCCAAACATTTTCTTTGGCCCATTCCAGCATAAACCCGCATCTAAGGTACAAGGATACTACCCTAGAAAAAACCAATGAGTTCACTTATCTCGGAATGACGTTTGACACTAAGCTAACGTGGAAAAGTCACATTGCTAAAATAGCAGAACGGGTCTCCAATAGACTGAATGTACTGAAGCGTCTTGCTGGTAGCGTATGGGGCTGTGCGTGTTGAACCCATCTGCTTGACTACTTCAGGGAATCAAACACATCTCTAGAACAAATTCGCTCACTGCCCCTTGAGATAATCAATGTCAACTATCCTGGAGATCAATAGCTCCAAGTCTTCACTGATGGGTCTATTCTGAACTCTTCTCGTTTTACGCAGCAGTGGGACACAATAGATCCGCTTTGGAAGGACAAATAGAAGCCATTAGGATAGCACTAACCCAGTTATGTTGCCTTGGTACGAAATTCACCAAAGCGATGATACTTTCGGGCTCATTTTCAGCAATAAACTCAATTGGAAACAGAGAGCTACCCAAAACAGCTGAGATAAAGAAATTTAAAAAACTCTATCAGCTGCTGAGAGAGAAAAACAAAACAGTGGTTCTCTATGAGCTGCTGAGAGAGAAAAACAAAACAGTGGTCCTACAATGGATTCCTGGTCACTGTGGCATTAAAGGCAATGAGCTTGCTGACACACTTGCTAAGAAGGGGACAACGATTTTGCAATGCATGGAATGGCCGATGTCTTTCCACTCAATGAAGGCCATAATCAGGGGAGAATTTAAGACCTCAAGTTGTCACGAATTTAAAGCTCGAACAAAGGAGAAACAATGAGAGTGGCACTCTCAGATTGCAACGAACTTAAAGTTCGAACAAAGGAAAAACAGTGGAGAGTGGCACTCTACCACATAGAGGAGAAATAGTGGACAGTGGCACTCTCCGACATACCCGGCTGGCCAAGAATCGAAGCCGTTGCTGAGTTTAGACTACATACCGAGCGATTGCTTGGCAAAACACCTTCACAGATTGGGAGTATACGATTGCCTGGCAAAACACCTTCACAGATTGGGAGTAAACACTCCAACCCACATGCCCTCTATGTAACCTACAGGAGGAAACGGTTGCCTGGCAAAACACCTTCACAGATTGGGAGTAAACACTCCAACCCACATGCCCTCTATGTAACCTACATGAGGAAACGAGAAGACCCACCTGATTCGGTGTCCAGCCCTAAAGACAACGACGGAAACCCAGAGATACTGGGAAGCAAAAATAAAGACAACTAGAAAGCCAGAGATACTGGGAAGCAAGACGAGACAACGACGGAAAGCCAGAGATACTGGGAAGCAAGAAGAGGGAGAAGACCCACCTGATTCGGTGTCCAGCCCTAAAGACAGGAAGACCCACCTGATTCGGTGTCCAGCCCTAAAGACAAGGAGAAGACCCACCTGATTCGGTGTCCAGCCCTAAAGACAAGGAAGACCCACCTGATTCGGTGTCCAGCTCTAAAGACAAGCAAGAAAGCCAGAGATACTGGGAAGCAAGAAGACAGCTAATGAGCTGAAAGCAGAGTACGGGGAAGCAAGAAGACTGCTAATGAACTGCTATTAATTAACCGCTATAAATGTAATCCAGCTCTAAAGACAAGGACGGAAAGCCAGAGATACTGTTAAGCAAGAAGACTGCTAATGAACTGCTATTAATTAACTGCCGCAAGAAGACAGCTAATGAATTGCTATTAATTAACTGCTACATGTATGTACCCCACCCCCTCTTGGGGGAAGCTGAAGTCAAAGTTTAAGGGCTAATGATAGAATGAACTGCTATTAATTAACTGCTATATATGCACCCTCCACCCATGGGGGAAGCTGAAGTCAAAGTTTAAGGGCTAATGATAAATATTATAAAGCCTGTCGTTTGGAAAAATACCTGTTGTAGTTAAAACGAAACTGCGAACGTCGAAATTTCGTGCGCTTTCCAAGAGGTACGTTGTCCACAAGTCTTAGAATGGCCATCCAATGGAAACGGGAGTGTCAGGGCAGTGAGTGTGGGTGTGAGCGCTTGGACCTTGGCCTTTCCACAGGTGACCTCTCATCTCACACACGTCAGACGCCAAATGCCGCTGTCGCAGGAGAATCCTCCTCTTCTTCTAGTACCTCTTGTCCACATGCAAACCACGTCCTTTTCCCACCCATACCTGAATGTCACCAACGTTGAGTTGTCTAAGGCTTCTTTGAGTGAGAGATTATGTAGAGTAACTCGGTTTCAGTAATTCAAAATAAGGTGGGAGTTTTGCAATTCTGTCGTCTCTTCTCCATCTTCGTGTTCAGAGATTAATTAATCGTTTTATTCTACAGAGCTCTCGGCAATTTCCGTCTTAATAACTTTCAAGTCAATGATGTGTCATTAATGTCTAGGTTTTTTAACTATTGTAAAACGACTCTATGATCTCTAGATTGAATTCAATGGTAAACAAATCTAGTACTCACCATACGTAGAATCCTATTAGGTGTCAGGACAAATTGCAACAATGCAAAATAATTCATCTACTAACTTTGTAATAACGAATTCGTTTATTGTTCACAACGAATTTCAGTTATTGAAGAATTGGTATAGAAGTACCAGAACTACATAGACAACAACCTAACAGTCACTCACCGATTTGATCAATTCGTGGTCATTTATGGATCAACTGTGTCTGCACTGAGTGCGAGATAAGGCAAATTGCAGAGCTCTCTCATAGTTAATCAAATGGATAACCCAATTCAATTGAATTCAAACAGAATTGCAGTATAAAGATTTCTTTATTTAAAGAAGAAAATGTCAATCGATTGAAGAGGGTGAAAGACAATCAGTAAATAAAACGAGTGCTAATGGTTATGGTGTAATGGAGAAATTGATAATGTTTCATCACGTTTCATTTTAACATTGGGAGACAATTGTTAGGCACCATAATGCTAATGTACCACTAGACAATTAATTCGCCAGTAATATGGCCAAGCACTTAAACCTTAATGCATTTTACATCTAAATCAAAACTCGGTTTTATTTAATAACACTCAAAACTCAATTCAGTTCAAGTGAATTTATAATGAGAATATTTCCCTACTTCAATGGGTATATGACTAAAGAGTGCAAATGGTGAAAGAACATAGGAACTAAAGTGAGTGCTTCCGATTGTGATATAATGACGATAAATTTGTACATGTTTTCCCCGTTTCGTCTTAAGTTTAGGAGATAGTCGTTATACATCAAAATGGTAATATATTCCTCAATTTGTCACGACTTGGCAATTAAATTGTTAACAATATGGAGAGGAAATAAAAAATTTTAATGAAATTTGTAAATATGTAAAAGATTATAAATAGGAAATTGGTAAGTTTTTTATTAAAAATAATGAATCAAAATGTTCGGTGTTTTGTTTATTGCCAACT